TCCTGCAGTGCCACAACGATGCCACCCGAAGGTTGCAGGAACAGCAATTCATATTCCGCTTGGGAACCCTGCAGCCCAATGGTATCAATGTGGATTTCACAAGTTTCAAAATCTCCCCTCCCCCCACCGCATCCCAAAACCAGTCCAGCTCGTCCCTGCCTCCCTAACCTGTTCTTCCTCCCACCTATCCCCTCCTCCCACCTCAAGCCGCACCTCCATCTCCTACCGACCAACCTCATCCCGCCCCCTTGACCTGTCCGTCCTCCCTGGAGTGACCTATCCCCTTCCTAACTCCCTACCTACACTCACCTTTCCTGGCTCCATCCCCGCCTCTTCGACCTGTTTGTTTCCTCTCCACCTATCCTCTCCTCTATCCCTCTTCTATCCGCCTCCCACTCTCTCCCTATTTATTTCAAAACCCCCTTCCCCTCCCCCTTTTCTGATGAAGGGTCTAGGCCCGAAACGTCAGCCTCTCTGCTCCTATGATGCTGCTTGGCCAGCTGTGTTCATCCAGCCCTACACCTTGTTGTCTCGGATTCTCCAGCATCTGCAGTTCCTACTATCTTTGGTTATTAGAGTGTTGTTTATCACCACAACATTCATTCCAAAGTTTCAACAGCTTCATCCTTTTGGAGCTCCTGTCCATACTGCTATGTGAGGCAGTAGCAGACAATTATCATGTGGATACCCCGGCTTTTACATACTCCCACACAAGATCTGTCCAGGCATTTGGACTGCACCTTCAATCTGACGCATGCTTTCCCAATAGCTCTGGCGGTCAAGTGGCTTCTTGTGCCCTTTCTATGTGTCTATGATCATGAGCCACACCTTCAAAGGGTGGTTAATCCTAGTCTGCAAGTAGCTATCTGCTAACACAGCTTGACATTGAATACCTAGGAGCATTGATTGGGACAGAGTGTCCACATCATGATAGCTTCCTGAGAATCTTGTATCACACAAGTCATAATTTTTTGCTAGCTATAAACAATCTGATTCTTGGTGGAGTGGAATCTCTCTCAATTGATGATAACTCTAGGCTGATCTGGAACTACAATCAGTGTCTCACACTGATCACTCCGATTGACAAAGCCCAGCACACGGGTGTTCTGATCCAGCTGAGAATTTCTGGGAATTATATATTAATTTTCATTGTAATTAAGGTAATTACATGGTTTGAGAGAAAGGCTGAACTGGCAACTCAATATTCCGAGGTATAAGATCTTTATGTGAGACAGAGGCGGGTGTAAAAAGGGTAGTGGTTTAGCACTAAAAGGTAAGGAACCAATTACTGCAATAAAGTGAGATGGTATCTTGGAAGGTTCCTTAAGTGAGGGTTTATGGGTAGAACTTAGGAATGTTAAGGTGGCAGCTACTTTATTCGGAGTAATAGGTTTCCAAAGAGTCAACGAAAAATAAAGGAACAAATATGTAGACAGTTCACAGAAGTGTGTAAGAGTAATTATACTAAGGGATTTCAAATTCCCAATATAAATTGGGATAGTCATAGTGTTAAGGGTTTAGAGGGGACAGATTTCTTGAAATGTATCCAGGGTCTTTTTTTATATCAATATGTAGAAGGCCCAACAGGGATGGTGCAGTGCTGGATCTGGTTCTGGGGTTAGCTGTTTGATGTGGCAGTGGGGGAACATTTAGGTGATGGCAACCACAACATGGTCTGGTTCAATTTTGTTCTGGGCAAGGAAAAAAATGGCCTGCAAAAGATGACTTTGGATTGGAGGAAGGCAGATTTTATTGAAACAGGATCTGGCCACTGTTGGCTGGGAACAGTTCCTTGCAGGTAAGTCTATAGCAGAGCAATGAGGGGCATTCAGGAAGGAGCTGGGAAGAGTATAGATCCAACATGGACCCTTTAGAGGCAAATGTAGGAGAAAACCCTGGATGTCTAGGACAATTCGAGACTGGATGAGGAAGAAGAGAAAGGCTTTTAGCAAGTCCAAAAGGAGCAATTCAGCTGCAGCCCTAGAGGAGTACAGAAAGTGCAGGAGGGAACTTAAGAAAGTAATTAGAAGAGCAAAAAGGGGGCATAAGAAACAACTTGTGAATAGGATTAGGGAGAATCCTAATATTGGATATTGGAAGGGTGTTGAATGAATGCTTCTCTTCGGCCTTCTCTCTGGAAAAGGAGAACGTAGGTACAGAATTCAAGAAAAGGGACTATGAGGAACTTGCACAGTTTGATATAGGAAATGGGGAAGTATTGGAGGCTCTGTCGGGCTTAAAAACAGACAAATATGTTGGCCCGAATGAATTGCATCCCATGCTGCTGTGGGAGGTGAGGCAGGAAATTGCAGGGGCTCTGACACAAATGTTTACTTCCTTTCTGGCCATGGGGGAGGTGCCAGAGGACTGGAGGACAGCAAACGTGGTTCCAATTCTTAAAAAGAGTGGTAGAGATGAACTAGGAAATTATAGACCAGTGAACCTCATGTCAGCGGTAGGGAAATTGGAGAAAATTCTGAAGGAGCGAATTATTACTCGCTTGGGTTGGTTAGGGATAGTCAGCATGGCTTTGTCAAAGGGAGGTCATGCCTAACAAAATTGTTAGAATTTTTTTTGAAAATGTGATCAAGTATGTGGATGAGGGAAGTTCAGTTGATGTAGTTTATATGAATTTTAACCAACCTTTTGACAAGGTCCCACATAGAAGACTGAAATTGAGGGAAACTTGGTGAGATGGATGAGAAACTGGCTTAGTAATAGGACACAAAGGGTAGAGGTAGAAGGCTGTTTGAGTGATTGGAGGCCAGTGTCCAGCGGTGTACCACAAGGATCAGTGCTGGGACTCTTATTGTTTGTTATATACATAAATGATACAGATGAAAATATGGGGGGAATATTAAGCAAATTTGCAGATGACTCTGAGATTGGTAGAGTGGTTAATAGCAAAGAAGATGGCGGTAGGTTATAGGAAGACACATGGTTGGTCAGATGGGCAGACAGTGGCAGTTGGTATTTAGCCCTGATAAGTGCAAGGTGATGCACTTTTTGGAAGAAGAAACAAGATGAGGGAATTTTTAATGAATGGCAGGACGCCGGGTAGCTTGGAGGAAGAGAAAGATCTTGGAGTAATTCTTCACAGATCCCTGAAGTTGGTAGGGTACGTGAATAGGACAATTAAGAAGGCATGAGGGACAGTTGCTTTCATTAGTTGTGGCATAGAATATAAGAGCAAGGAGGGTAATGTTGGAGTTCTATGGAACGTTGGTCAAACCACAAATGGAGCACTGTGTGCAGTTCTGGTCACCTCACTACTGGAAGAATGTGATAGCATGAGAGGGGATGCAGAAGAGGTTCACCAGAATGTTGCCTGGGATGGAGAAATTGAGCTCTAATGAGAGACTAAATGGGCTTGGATAACAGTGGAGCTGGAGGAACACAGCAGGCCAGGCAGCATCAGAGGAGCAGGAAAGTGGATGTTTCAGGTTGGGACTCTTCAGATATGGCCCACTTCTGATGTTTTCTGCCTCCATTCCCCCACCCCCAACACAGCTGTGCCATTTGTCAGTGAATAAAATTCTATGATTTTGATGTGACATTTTTGAAATGGTCTTAAATTTGTGATTAGCATTATGATTGGATTCTTCAATTATGGTTTTTGAATCTGAGTTTTGATTTTGCAGCTTGCAAAATGCAGGAAGTGGATCGTTTCAAAATGACTCCCTGCATTTCATAAGCCACAAAGTTGCCTGACAACCACCCTGCAATTGAATTTGGGTGGACGTGTCATGGTGTGTAATAAAGATTTGTCCTGGCATCAAACATACTGCCAGATGTTCAATTTCATCCTTTTATAACTTGCTGTTCGTTTGTGCTTCTGTTTTCTAGGTGTTGACTCAATTTCAGAGTAGCAGTTAGGAAAAAGCATAGCTCAATCATCTCTTATTCCTAAACACATCTGACAGTTCAAGCCCATTCAATACAAATACCTAGCTAAACAAACCTAGTGTTACTATTGTATTATTGAGATTGATGTTAATCTACCTTTTAATCTATCATTTGAAATAGGAGCTGAGATTAATATAGTGACATTGCAGATTTCAACATTTTCAAATAAAGTGGAATGCTTTTCAATAATTCCTGTGGAGTGGCTCTTTTAACCAAATGTGATTAATCTGGCTCTGCTCTCAATAGACATGAATGCTTGTATTAAAGGACGCTCTGATATTGCATTTGTACTTGAAGTCCTGGATAGTTTTGCTCTTAATTTTTTTAAAATTTGCACTTCTCTGCTGTGTTCCAAGGCTAGTGGGTTAGCCACATAAGAAGCCCCCATTCCCTGTCCTTTGTGATGAATGTTCACAATATATTGTTGCTATTTGAAAACTTGGCTTGTAAAGTGAAGGTAAAATAGTTTTTAGTTTTTAGTTTTCAGTTTTGTGAAAGTCTGACTTGTTTTTATTACAGGTGAGAAAGT